GTACCCTTGGTCCCTGCCATCTTTCCCCTTTGCACCTCCTTCCTGACCTTTAACTCTTCCCACCTGATGGGCTGGTCAGTGTCCTATCTAATTAAGCCCTTCAGCCCCAATTAAATCCACTCTGGGAGGGAAATACCCAGTATCGTAGTGACCAGAACGCTGAGTCAGCTCTGGGCTCAAGCACTCTGTCATAGGCCTATCCTCCATGCTGCCCATATGAGGAGCGGATTTTACTCCCCACACTATGCAGTAAAGGCTGAGAGCAGCATTATGGAGGTAGTTAGTGTGCAAGAGGGATGGAAGACCTTTCACTGCCCTTCCACATACTTGAAAAAACAGAGGAACAGAGAAAAACTTGGCTTTATTTTGACATCAGATTCAACTTTTACAAACTTGGCTGTCAGAGGAAAAACAACTGATAGTATCCTCACTAGCAAATACTACACAACTTGGCATTGCCTTTCTACAGCTCCTTGCCAGGTTGGTGTAATGCCCCTGTGTTTGCAGTGAAATTTCTGAACATTCCTCTAGAGCTGCAGTGAATCCAGGTACTCCCTTCTCTATCCTGGTATGATCTATGGGCAGGCAAACTGGTGTACCAACGCAATCAAAAACCTTTAGTACCACGTCAGTATGTGCATATGTCCCTTGTTTTGTTTATTTTCCTTTTGTTTTGGAGTGTAAAAGCAGATAATACTTAACATATGACCCAGCCCTTTCAACTGATGCTGCAAGAATGTTATATGGCTCATTCCCAGCTGGAGAGTGTTTGAACTAACCACACAAACTCAGTAATTAATTTCACCATGGTCTAATATATTACCACTGAGTTGAATGAGTTAGGATACCACAAGAAGGAATCCCCATTCCTCTGAGTCCTTAGTAAGGCTCATCATGTAGTAATATGAACAAATCATGTTTTTGAACTGCAGAAAACAACATTTGATAAAGCAGGAAAATAAACAACTCAGTAAGTCTTTCTGACAGGGTGTACAGGCCCCCTTGGGATTCTTTCAGGGAATGTTCTTGGGCTGGAAGAACCCTGTCCCATTTGGTACATCAGAATAAAACCCCATGAGCCATGCAATCAATGTAGTGCTTTTACAAGCCAGCGCACTTGCTGCCCAGGAAGCCAGTTACAGCTACCAGTGTATCTATACTGAACTGTGATCCAGATACTAATTGGTTTTCATAATTCTTTGGAAGCAGAACTCCTGATGAGCAGGAGGGAATTTCTCTCTCTGGTATCTGGCTAAAAAGAAAAGAGCTGAACATTAGGGCTGGTTGAGCTAGAAAAGACAGCTGGCCTCATTACATTTAAACAAGCCGAGAAGGAAGACATAGAGGAGGACAAGAGGTCCTCTCTTCAGAAGCTCCTACTCTCTAGAAGCCAGGACACTGAGCTCTGAGAAGCAAGAACTTAAACTGTACATTTTACATTGTCTGATTTAGAGACTTGAAATATTGTTAACTATAGTAGGGATATATAGGCAGTGAATCTGGATGCTGCTACGTTAGATCTGGAAATACTCCCACCAGTAAATAAAACTAGAATGCCAATGAGGTACTTTCAACTTAGATTCCTGGTGAATGTTCTATCAAGCCCTGCTGACCCCAGGGACTTCCACAGTTCATTTTTAAAAATTAATTAATTAAATTATTCTCCCAGATGGTGAGCCCAGCAACTCAAACCATAATCCTCCAGACTCACACCAGCCTATTCACAATACATCAAAGCTGAGATTTCTTTTCCCCTCCCTAAAAGCATTCAAGCAAGCGGAAGAGCATATACACTCTTTTGTCCATCAAGATACAAAACATATTAAAGGAGACATTTGAATTGCAGGGGAAAAAAAATCTGCTTCTTATTATATAGCTAACAATTAAGGAGTGGGAAAAACAAATTCTGAAATGACTGCAAATTACTACTGTTGTTTATGCCATTCAAAACACATCCATTGAGTGGTAGGAACTCACATGGCATTTTATACACATACAACTATGCAGTTCCCAATGATCAAACATTTAGTGAACTATTTTTCCCCCGACAACATTCCTAAACTGTCTGATGCTCTGCAACTAAAGGTTAACTAGGCCTGCAAGGAGGCTCAGGGCAGGAAGTACATATTGCAACAGACATGTGGACCAGTAGTCAAACCATCAACAACATGATTGTTACAGTTAACTGGTTTTCATTTAGAAGTGTGTCTTTTGCTTCTGTTCCTCCCTACTGCCCCTAAGCAAGTTTGAAGACAGGCTGCTCTTTTCTTTGCAATGTGTGATAAAGATCACTTAGTAGTTAATGTGACAAAAAATGTGTGGCTTACCTTACCTGACCCTCTTTTAGATCTTTAAGAAAGAGTAATGCTGGAAATATAGCTCTTGCTGCCACTGAGAATGGTGCTTTTTCCCACACACGGCTCTGCTGTGAAATAGAGAGATCAAAGTAAAGAATTACACACACACTTCAACAGAACTCACATAACTGCAAGAGGTAACATACTGAAAGGACTATGGATTCCAATAGCTTCAACCCAACATCTACGCATCTCGTGACTCTGCTACCTACTTAATCCACTCTGCTCACCCACTGAATATTCTGCACATATCAAGTATTGTCATTAAAATATATGTAGCTTGCGTGATGTCTTAACAAGACATAATTGTTATCAGAAAGTTCCTTTACTCAGTTCATTTTTTGGTTACATTGTAGCATCAACATTTATGCAATTCTGTTATAGTTAGCCCCTTACTGCTATTGTGAATTCCCTCCGCCCAGAAGGATGGTGGTCATTTGTACCTTGATAGTTCCATTGGCAGAAAAGTATCTTAAAGATACCTATACCTGATAAGATTTCTACAGCATCTTTGTGAAGGAAAATGCATCTTTTGAGACATTTTACAAAATCGCTCTGGCAGAAAAAAAAAAAAAAAAAAAAGCTGCTCCCTAAGTCCCTGCTAAACACAATGACCAAGGCAAAGTTCAGTGGAGGGGTATATGCATGGGACAGGTGATGCCTTTAGGGATGCCCCATTGACATGTTATGACGTTTTGGCCCCAAAGTATATTTAGAAGAGAGAGAGATTATTCCAGGAGATGGGTCTTTAAGAAAAGCACCAGATTTTACAAGACATGGGATAAAATTGCAAGACTTAGCAACACAAGTTCTAACACAACTGTAATATAAACAATGTCATACTCACAGTCACTAGTCCAATGCCTTGATTTTTTTTTCCAAACCTTTGATTCTGCTCACCTCTACACTTGTCCCTGATTCCATCCTGAGCCTAGATCTAGTCTTGTTATAGTTAGGTCCCAAATTGTCCCCCCGCCTCTCCACATTGCTGTTCATTAAGCCTTTTTCAACACAAAAGCATCCAGAGCTAAAGCCCTAAATCACTATGAATTTCCAGTGTGTATGAAAACATATTGGGCCAGATTCTCTGCCGGTGTAAACTAGCGCTCTCCATTATTTCTTTAGTAACTAAGGCAAGCCACTTTAATTAACAGGGCCACCCTAAAGCATGTGTCTGTTCTCCAAGTCACATGCTGTTTTATTTATTAGACAAATTGTTCATGTTCATGACTATAGATTTTAAACAGATTTCTAGTGATAATTACCACACTTCCATATGTACTTCATCAATTCTGAATTTTATTACTACTAATTTTCTATACAGCACATGCCAGTTCCCTGAGTTACAAATACAGGTGGTTAATACCTGGGTAATTGTATTTACCCAGCTCACGTGTGTGTTTTGAGGATTAGCCACAGTACTTTTAGCCAGGCCAGAAGTGAAGTGCTTCTTCTAGAATTTCCAAGCCAGACATTAAAAATGCACCCAGCAGTAGTGCTGGTACCATATACTCCATGTGACATATTTGTGGGTAGAAACATCTTCCACCAATGTAAACTATGGAGTCAATAGCATTTAGGTGACACATATTCCAAAGCCTTTTCTAGTGAACAGCACTCCTGTTCATGTCATACTCTCCAATGACCTGATCCTGTACAGCTTTTATGTACATGCTTAACTCTAAGCATAAGAGTAGTCCCACTGATTTAAAATTAAGCATGTGCATAAGTACAGGATTCAAAGCCCAGTGAAGGCAGTGGAGTGACTCCCATTGATTTCAATAGGCTTTGGATCAAGCCGTAAGAGAGCTGGAAATAAAAAAATAACAAACCTCTTTATCCTAAAATATTTTGCTAAATCACACTAGAACTGTGTATGCCTTCACCATGCAGATGCTCACCTCTTCCCCCCATACCAGCAACATTAGCACTGCTATAGCAAACCTTTCGCTACTCTGCTCGACCTTTCAAAGGAAGAAAGCTTCCAATAATTGAATGTTTAATTCTCAAGTGATACATTTCAATTATCTGCAGGGATCTGAAAGGAAAACCAAGGGCTTAATGAGTGGACAGCTAGAATTTCAAGGCGCAGGTCATTTTTCAATCATCCGTGTCTTGACATGCTGTCCTAATCAGAAATGTGTGGAATTGATGTAGACATATCTAAAACGTATCTTTACTGTCAGGAGATTGAAAAACAATATTCTATTTCCCTGAAGGGATTTTCCCAACCCTGCTTCTTGTTTTGTACCTGAAATATGGGGCAGAGTCCTGTTTTAAAAATCAGAATGGAGATCCTTGCTAGCAGATATTTCAGCAAAAATCAGAAGGAAATGCTTTGCCAACGTAGGCAGTAGGTCTTCAGGGATTTTTCAAGACTGTGCTGACAAAAGCAAAACATATGCTCATTCAGGACAATTTGTACTTCACAAACATTTAGCAGCTAGTACAGAGGAATACAAATAGAGACAACAGTGTGCGCATATTAAACCAGAGCTCCCTGTTTCACTCTTATTCAATAGATACCTGCGTCTTTGTTCCCATGCTTCAAAAATCTGCACAATCCTAACCTTTGCTGCCATTTATATCACGGTCCAGTTTTGTTTTACTGGTACTTTTATAAGCAGCTATTTTCTTTTTCAGTTACAGGAAAGACAACAATGAAGACAAGAGCAGAAAAGAGAATTCACTGAAGCTACAAGTGAGTAATAAGAGAATAAGAAGATTTATGGATGAAGGATTTCAGTAAAGGAGAATTTACAGAAAAAAAAACAAATCTTCCTACATTGGCTAATAACACCTATAAGAACATAAGAACGGCACTACTGGGTCAGACCAAAGGTCCATCTAGTCCAGTATCCTGTCTTCCGACAGCAGCCAGTGCCAGGTGTCCCAGAGGGAATGAACAGAACAGGTAATCATCAAGTGATCCATCCCCTGTTGCTCATTCCCAGGTTCTGGCAAACGGAGGCTAGGAACACCATTCCTGCCCATCCTGCCCAATAGCCATAGATAGACCTATCCTCCATGAATTTATCTAGTTCTTTTTTGAACCCTGTTATGGTCTTGGCCTTCACAACATCCTCTGACAAGGTGTTCCACAGATTGACTGTGCGTCATGTGAAGAAATACTTCCTTTTATTTGTTTTAAACCTGCTGCCTATTAATTTCATTTGGTGACCCTTAGTTCTTGTGTTATGAGAAGTAGTAAACAACACTTCCTTATCTACTTTCTCTACACCAGTCATGATTTTATAGACCTCAATCATACCTCCCCTTAGCCGTCCCTTTTCCAAGCTGAAAAGTCCCAGTCTTATTAATCTCTCCTCATACAGAAATTGTTCCATACGCCTAATCATTTTTGTTGCCCTTTTCTGAACCTTTTCCAATTCCAATATTTATTTTTTGAGATGGGGCGACCACATCTGCACACAGTATTCAAGATGTGGGCGTACCATGGATTTATATAGAGGCAACATGATATTTTCTGTCCTATTATCTATCCCTTTCTTAATGATTCCCAACATTCTGTTCACCTTTTTGACTGCCACTGCACATTGAGTGGATGTTTTCAGAGAACTATCGACAATGACTCCAAGATCTCTTTCTTGCGTGGTAAATCTAATCTTGAGTGGTAACAGCATGAAATCACAGCATGCTGAAAACAACATTTATTGAAATGAAAGAGAAAACAAAAGTAAACTAGAGAAAGATGAATGTATATAATAAGTATAAACAAAAGAAATTAAGTTGTACCTCCTAAGATGGGGCAGAAGACAAACAGCTGTCACCTGGTAATATCTGAGGATTCCTAAAATATACACACCCCTGGGCACCCTGAAATGCTGGGTGGAGTTGCCTCTGGAGACAGATAGTTAGAAGTGACACCACTTATGACGTACCCCCGGCCACCACTGTTGTTCTGGAAGGGACTCTCAGATACATGTTCCTTGTTAACAGAGGATGCCTTTGGGCCCCATGAAAAGGAGTAAACTGAGATTTTCTTTTTTCAAAACTAAGTTTCTAGAATTTTACCTTTCAAAGATAGCCTTGAAAACAAACAGAATGCTAGGTTAGACTGGAACAAGCAGCTGCATTCCTGCAGCAGGAGTCCGAGAAGAATCTACAGTTCCCTCCCCCTCCTTTTATATAAAATTAGAGTTAAGTTTGCTGCGTATCCCAAATGATCATCTTGCAAGTCCTCCCCCCCCTCCCCCCCCACCAAATATCCTCAGGACAGTCCCATGCAAACTGGTGTGATGACAGTAGACAAGATGGAAGTTAACCCATATATGCTGAGGTTAACTTTCATATTCCTAGCCCTCTCAGGGACTAGAATTGAGTGAGCTGGTGCTCACCTCCCGCAGCTCTCACAATAGTGGCACTTGCTGCAAAGGAAACAACCATTTTATGTTCTCACCTGGGAGAGCACCAGGTAGTCCCGGTTGGCCATACCAGCAGTGCATCAGGAGGAGAAGCTGGGCCAACCTGGTGCTGCAACTGAGTGAGAGTCCTGCAACCATTGTAGCCTGACTCTGGCCCAGTGACCAGGCCTACCCCAGAGACCTACTCCATCAGCCAGCAATCAGAGGAGATCCACTCTTTTAGTCAACCCACACAAACCCAAGCTGGAGAGACCCATCTACTTCAGGAACCAAAGGGGTCACATTTCCCATCCAGACTGCAGAAAGGACTCTCTTAGCCATATAACCAGCTACAAAAGAGACTAAGTCTGTGAGACAACAGACCTCCCACCCCTTCTGAGGGTGTGATGGGCAGTTCCAGATAACTAAGAAGGGGAGCCACCTAGAGGATCCTCCAGGATGGGCTGAGGGAAGCACGGTGGATGAAGAGGTACTGGGCTGAGGTGGGTGATTTTGGGGAGGAAACAGAATAGAACGTATATAAAGGGGGATATAGAACTGATAATTATTTGGGATCAATACATTTGGTGGCCGGGGATATAGTACCAACTGGGGCACTGGGGGAAAAAAACTATTTTACTCAAGACACGTCATGTGCTTTGCCTAATGATGTAGTCATCATCGTGTTCTCATTACACCTTTGGCGTTTAGGACGGTGATGAAGCTCCTCCACTTCTGTCTGTTTCTGGCAAGTCTTTCAATGGGTCTCCAGTTGTGCCCCAGGTTTTTCAGCTTGGCTTCCACAGCTCTTCACCATGCTGTTTTTGGGCGGCGTCATTTTCACTTGCCTTCAAGTGTCCATCTTATTGCTATTCTGGTGATAGAATCAGTTTCCATCCAAAGCACATGGCCCATCCATCTCCAGCGCCTCCTATCAATGACGGTGCTCAGATCCTCTTGGCTGCATTCTGTCAATAGATCTTGGTTTGAGACTGTTCTGAGCCAAAAGATACGGAGGATTTTTCTGAGGCAGGTTGTATGGAATGAAGACAGTTTGGACAAGTCATACTTTCTAATTCCCCAGCATTCTGCACTGTAAAGTAATGTTGAAAGTACGCAGCTCTGATAAATCTTGAGTTTGGTTTTGGTGGTGTATTTTGATGATTTCCAGACAGTATTTAAGCTCCTGAAGGTGTTCCTGGCTTTATTGATTTTGTTCCAGATGTCCTGGCTTGTTCCACCGTCCGGGCTGATGGTGCTGCCCATGTATGTGAATGTTTCTACATTGGTGAGAACATAATCCTCTATCCGTACTGGTGATGGTGAGGCAATATTAAAGGTCATGATATCTGTGTTATTGCGTTTAATTTTCAGTCCAATTTGCTGGTTGAATGTGTTGAGTCAAGTTGTTTTTTCTTGTATATGGTGTTGGGTACGTGATAGGAGTTTGCCATTGACTGGGTAATGCAGTGTACAACAGAAGACATGCCAGCAGGCATTAAATGGACACCCTTTCATCCTTGAAGACCTGGACTTCACAGATGATCTCGCTCTCCTATCACATACCCAACACTATATACAAGAAAAAACAACTGATGTGGTGCCTCTTGTTAAATTTTTGGCAGAACATCACTTCTGCCAACTTTTTGATGTCTACTGACTGTGCCCCAAAGAATGTGACTGATCACCTACCCCACCTCTCACAGCTGCAACACCTTTTTTGAGAAGCACTGCTTTCATTGGCAGTACATTTCAGGAGAAGCAAAATTCTAGCGACACCCACAGTTCTGAAGGACAGGAGTGCAACAAAATAGCTGCCCCACCCAAATTGTTCTGAGCCTTTGGTCCCATCAGGACTAGCTGATGTACCTTGATTTCCCTGCTTTTATTCTTTTCTGGTTTGTTATGAACTTCTAAAGTTACAGCCATAGTAAAAAAAGAAAAGAAAAAGGCAGACAAAAGTGAACAGCACACCCTCTCATTAAATAACTGCTGGGTGAAACAGGATGGGATCTGATTTTTTAGAATACCAGAACAGACACAGACTGTGATATATTCAGGGACAGTCTTCAAGAGCTTAATGTTACTGATGCCGTGCTTCCCAGAAAAAGCAATTATCCAAATGTTAAAAAACATAAAAACCCGTGAACAGTTATTAAACAAGGAAGTACAAAGGGCTTACCCATATGAGTAACCATGCACATAAAGTACACAGGGGATTGTTAATTGGATACACAGCCTTTCACTGTGAGGTCGCTGGTGGGAATCCAGCTTGGGTCGGCCATTGCCAAAAGCCATTACCAGCGATGGAGCCATTTGATGGCTGCTTGGTGGAGTATGTGGAATGAGTAGATGATTCCATCCTGACCCACATCATAATTCACACACACATACACACACACTCTAACTGGCACCTGTCAGTCTCAATGGAGAAACCAAGGATGGAATGGACATAGAGACTTAATTTCCCTCAGCTCTAAAATGGATCCCTCCAGCTCAGTGGTGAGAAGATCATTGGTGAAGTAGCAGGAAAAAGATGGTAGCACTTAAAATACCAGTGCTGAACTATGCTGAGAGTGATAGCATCAGACCCCAGGGCTGCCACCCAGTCACCTATCACTAGCATTATATTCACTAAAAGGGAGGAAGAGCAACTAGAAATATTAACAGTCTATGCAGTGAGGAGAGACCAAAGGCAAACTGTTTTAGGCTACAGTTACAAGCCAGGGCTGAAAGCTTCCTTCAAAAGAGTGGGAGGTGGGGTGGGGAATTTACGTAAATGAATGGAGAGCAGTGATTTTTCCATCTGCCCCTTAGCAAGGGTTTGCAACAGTGAGACAGTTTTGCAATTAACCCACAGAAGGGAAATATTGTCTCACTCCCTTTATTTTTGAGTAAATATTAATAACTTTAGCGTTGACAAAGTCAGGTGAAACTAAAAACTGCCTCAGAGGCAAAGCATGCCAAATGGAAATGCTCAGTTATTTAATAATCTCCCCACTGATTTTGTCCTAAAATAGGCTATGACTCTGGAAGTGCAGGGATTTTGCAACGCCAGACTGGGGAGTTGGAGGTGGAACCCACTGTGCGTTCTATTTAACACTTTTTTAAAAAGGGAGTGGGGATAGAATCGGTTTGTTGTTTTTGCATGTGGAAATATCAGCCAAGTGTCTCAGGTAGCAGAAGTCAAATGCAGAGCCAACACGGTAGGTTTCCAAGCTTTACAGGAACACTCAGACAGAGGAGGAAGATGGCTTAGAAACCAGTCAAAATCGGTACATTGACTAAGGGAGGAGGGCTAAGAAAACATAGGCAGTGATGCTTTAAGATCTCTCATTCTCCTGGCAGACCCAACAGTCAGCCCACTGGGCAGAGTCGCTCTTCAGACTGAGTGCTCAACTATTTCTCGTATTAGTTCAAAGAACAACAGCTGTGCAAATCTTCTCCAACCAAAAACCAAAAGGTGCAAAATTAGACTTTTAGCCATTTTTATTACCAGGTGGGGGGAAACGAGTGGCCATAAGCCTAAGGACAGCTCACCACCAACATCCATGAAGACTGGAGGAAAGAAGCAGGTTTCCCAAGGGAATCTATAGGCATAGCCATTGATGATCCTCAGTGCATTCATCCCACCATCCTCAGCATATTATGGCTTCTCCTCCATTGAGCCTAAAAGTTTGGCTACCTATCCACACAATCACCCCCTCCAAACAGGACTGGTTTTCTCCTACTACTTCTTGTCTTCGTGAAGTAAGACAGTATACATCTTCTGGAGCCAGATTTATTCAGGCTGTAACCAATGCTGGACAGAGGGAGGTGGTCTGCGCATCTCCCGTTCAGGGGTTGCAAGGGGCTGTTTTAGCTAGTGGCATAGGCCAGGGCAACCCTAAGATTTGCCTCTGTCAGTGGCTCCTCTGGACCTTTGCAGGGACAGTGATTCCCTGGAATGTTCCCTGCTTCCCCAGCTCCACCCTCTGCTTCTTCTGGCCTGCCCTCAGGCCCACTCCATATCAGACCCACCTCAGAACACTTCTTTCACTGGGGACCCCTGCAGAGGTGGTGCAGAGCCAGCTCTGTGCCAGGCATAAAGGGCCCCTGAGCCAGCCAGTGCTATTGCTATTCACTGGGATGGAGGCTAATTCCTGTCCTGTGCCCATTTTCAACTAGTCTAGCTGGCAGGGCACCAATGAACAGAGCCCCTCTCTGGTGTCTCTGCAGAGTAGCCTGTAGGCCTTTGTGCCCACTAATAACAAGATATTATACTGCTGAGCCCAGACACCATGTTTCAAGTCTTTGGGGGCTATATTAGGCCGCACTAATACCCTATTATGTATTAGATAATTAAATTAAGTTAAATTCATATGTAACAAGTAGTGAAAGTTATATGTAACCTGCACCAACACACTGTACCTCTCCATCCCCCTCTAGTGGCTGGCTCTTACAGAGGTTTGAGTCTATATAGCCTTTGAGCTAACAGGCGATTCTTTTTGCCCAGTGTTTAGATCAAGAAATCCCAGGTTTGATCCCCACTGCCAACAACCCAGCCAGGAGCATCATGATATATATAAAATCACACCACAATACCAATGAAATCCATTATTCATGACTGACATATTCCAATCATTCATTTCCCATTAGTTGAGGAATATACTTGTGCTCAAATCAGTCAGAAGTCAATTCCCCTTGAGTGGCACAAGACATTATATCAATGATTTAATGAGACATTTTCTATACACACTAGCTTTGCATCTAATGAGCATCTCTGCTTAAAGAAACAATTGGAGCACTATCAAGATGTCAGTGTATATACATACTCTTTCTAAAGCCAGTTTAGGGATTGTAAAAGATACAGAACGGATGATATTGAAAAATATTGCCCATACAGTGATAATGTAGTACCTGGGATGATCGTGCAAGCTTCTCCCCACAAACCATACCATGTTGGTTCTGTTCTGACCAGGTGGGAGAATTATGTTCAGCTACCATGGCTTTTCATTTCTTAGCTTCAGTGTTAAGAATGCCACTGAAGATGCCAGATGTAGCGGTTTCATGTGATTTCTCTTGATGTTTGAATTTGAAATGATTCAGCTTTCTTCACAGAGGCTGCTGGAAGAGCCATCAGATAATATCAGCCAAGCAGATGGCTGAACCAGTGATCAGGAGATGAAAGGCTCTATATTACACAACCAATTCCTGAGCCACACAGGCCCCCACATACGTTTGTTTTAAACATCCATTCATTTTGTTAGAATTCCACCCCTTACTAGGACTATTTCTGCCTATATGGTATTATAGCATCATGATGTGTGGGATATGATTAGGGAACACATCACCCTGTAATCTAGAGCACTCCAGGAACCAATGTAACAGATACATTTAAGAACTGACTTGGTTAAAGTGAGATAATTTGTTTTAACAAGTTCCTCTTATGATGTGCATAATTTAGTGGATCTTACTATGCTGATTTCATGCATGCATAACAAAATCCTGGAACTCACTCAACTGTACTTCAAATCATACCAAAATTTAAGCCACACTGGTGCACAATGCTCTGAGTGTTCTATTGCAAGTGTGATTCTACTCTCAAGATTTGAGAGTATGAAAATGGCACCTTTCTGCTCAGTAGATCTACTTCCCAGATCGACTCAGTTTCAATAGCTTAATTTAGGGACAACAATTCATTATTACTACCTTACACTGCAGCACCAACACCACTAAGAAAGTGATCCAGAGTCTATTCTTTGTTGTGCATTAACTAATTGTTTACTACTGTAAGTTCCAGTTGGTTGCATGTGTGCCAACTCATTAAGGCAATGGATTCAGACTAGTGTCACTGCGGGAAGAAGTGGGAAAACTCTGGGGTTCAAATATCCCACAAGACCTAATTTGGCCCACAGAGTCTTTATTAGAAGTGTTGAGGAAGGAGATGGAAAGGACTCAATTTCACCTTCAGATCTCATCCTGAGTTCCATGGGCTGGCAGTTAAAAAAAATAATTAACATTTGTAAACATGTAAACTAAGTTCATTTGGTGCATGAGCTCATACAATCAACAGGACATTGAATGTCATTTTTAGGGAGTAATTCTTCAGCATACAAATTAAAATATTTCTTAATTTAACATTTTTATGAATAGAACATTATGACTCTTCCATTTTTCAGAGATGGCCTGTGTAAGCTGGTATGCAGAGAGACCCATTAGATCTTCCCCGAGTCTCTTCTGTCTAAGAGATGGGAAGTGTATCTGGTTTGCTGCTCCTGGTCACATGTCCTGCAAGTAGTTACTAGTTTTGAAGGGCACTACCAG